TTGGCTTGGAGAAACTACTCTGTGCCTTGGGCATAAACCTGTCTTTGTCCTTATGGACATTTGGGCTACACTCTTAGTGCTCAAACCCAGTGCTACCAGCAGCCCCTGCCTCAGAGAACTAAAACAGCTAAAACAAACAAACAAACAAAAAACATGGGTCTCCCATAAATAGCAATGGGTCCCAGTCTATGAACTTATTCCTTTGTATCTAGGCCTGTTGAGCATTACACGCCCATTTCTCCTTAGGTCACTTGCCCCAATTCATTTACTAGACTGAGATTTCTTTGGAAAATGTCATGCCAGAAATTCTTTTTGCCACCAAGGGAAAAAATCTAGAATTTGACAGTAGTAACCACATTTGGAAAGAAGGGGAAATAAATGACATTTCAACATGTTTTCTAAGCTCTATCTCTGATGGCACTTTAGCTGAGATTAGTGGAGCTGATCATTTAGTCCTATTGAATGAGCTACCAACCTTCTTGTGAGGAAAATGTTCAACTGATATTGGCACAATCCACAGTGCATCACTCATCAAGTTTCAAATAGGTCCTTCAAAATCTCTGCCCTGAATTACTCCATGAATAAGGAAACCCAACAGGAAATCAAGCACATAAGAGAGGAATACAAGGCTTAGGCCCTAGATCAATGGTCACACTCAAGCCATCTTGGGCCACAGCTGCATCGAAGGCCAGGACTTCGGACCATGGCAGCCACGGGGGTCAGGGGCTGGAGAGCACAGGGTGGAGGTCCTGGGGGATAGGAGGTTCCTGGGAAGGAGGGTCCTGGCAAGGGAAGGGGATAACAGTCCCTGTATGACCCCTATTGTACCTGTGAGAAAACCCAAAGGCTGAGGGTGGAAGTTTGATTAGGACCCTTGAGCAATAAATAACATTGATATCTATCTATATCTTTTGTTCCCAACATTCATGCACTAGTGATGTCTATTCCCATTGAAAACTGATTTTTCCCTGAAACACCCATGCAGTCCTTTTCAATATAGTCGAATTGATAAGGATAGCCAGTATCTTTTTACCTTCTCTTGGGAGGAAAGGCAATACACCTGGTCAGTAATCCTCAGGGTTCCACAGAGGGTCCATCCTGTATGTGACAACCTTAAAGACTATATTGGATGATAGGAAGTTTTCTGCAGTGTCTCCCATGTTATAGTATGTGCATAATTTCATTCTCTGCTCCCCTTCTGAAGGTTCTTTGCATGACACCAGTATACACCTGTGAAAACTTGTGGCTTTAAAGAGACATAAAGTGCCCAAAGAAAAATTGCAGTTTGCTCAAAACCAGCCTAGATATTCAAGGCATCTGCTGTCAGAACAAGGACTACATTTCAAGACATCCTGAAAATCAAAAACCTAAAACTAAGCACCAATTTTGAGACTCTCTGGGACTGTTTGGTCATTTCTGAAGTTTGATTCCAAAATTCTCTCATATAGTTGAAAGTGCATATGCTTTATTTAAACAGGACAAACCTTACCCTATTATTTGGAAAGAGAGGGATGACAGAGTAATTGAGACTTGAATGCAAAGTCTAAATCCATAAAAGCTTCTCAAAGTCAACACCCACAAATCAATCAACCCAGATAAGAAATGGGCAAAAGACATGAATAGACAGTTTTTGAGAGAAGATAGCCAGAACGCTAAGAGACACATGTAAAGATGATCAACATCCCTCATCATCATGGCAACACAAATCAAAACACGGACGAGATAGCACTTCCCACCTGCCAAAATGGGTAAAATTAACAACACAAGAAACCACAGGGGTTGGTGAGGACGAAGAGAAGGGGAACCCTGTTGCACTGTAGGTGGGAAAGCAAAGTGGTGCAGCAGCCATTCAGGAGAACAGTATGAGGTTTTAAAATAACTAAAAATGGAATTAGAGGTGCTTGGGTGCCTCAGTTGGTGGAGGGTCTAACTCTTGATTTTTCTCAGGTCTTGGTCTCATGGGCATGGCTCAAGCCCCACATGGGGCTCCAAAGTGAGCATGGAGCCTCTCTTCCTCTCTCTGCTACTCCCCCATTCACACTTGCTCACAATCTCCCTCAAATAAATAAACATTAAAAACAAAGAACAACTTAGTTTCAATCCATGGTGGCCAAAGTAAGATATTTGTATGATTTAACTCTTCCTACATTTCTTAAGACTTTTTTTTGCAGACTCGGCACATCATCTATACTAGATGATGATCCTTATATGTCAGATGTTTTGCCTTTAGCACTCATTGATGGTTTCAGCTGTGCATGCACAAGCTGAGGGACCAACCTACTGATAGGAAAAGTGTCACAAGTAGATAGTCTCCTGAAATAGCTACCAAACATCCTTGTCCTAGGGAGCGTCCTTTATACCCGATAACTTTTTATACCCTGTCTTCCATCATTACAATTTTTCTCTTTTTCATTAGGCCACCTGGAAGCAAGTAAACAACTGGGGCTTAATCAAGGCATTTCCCCCAACTGTCAGGACATTTATCTTGAGAGACAATCACTATGTGTTCAGGCTCTTCTCTGTAGCCTGGAGAAATTACAAAACCTCCCCATCTCATGAGGAAAATATAGTCTGTTGTTCTTCCTGTCAGTGATTTATATATTCATGCCTCCAAGAGTGTTATGTTCAATTACACGTCAGTGACCTTGTAAGTAATACTGTGAATAAAGTAATCTATTCTAGGGATGCCTGGGTGGCACAAGTCAGTTAAGCCTCAGAGTCTTGATCTTGGCTAAGGTCCTGTTTTCATGGTTTGAGTTCCAGCCCCATATCAGGCTCTGTGCTGATGGTGTGGAGCCTGCTTCGGATTCTGTCTTCCCTTCCCTGTCCCCTCCCCCTCTTTGCTCTTTCTCCCTCTCTCTCTCTCTAACACACACTGAATAAATTAAAATAAACAAAAAATGTAATCTATTCTAGTAATAAATAATAAATTACAAGCATAAAATAAAACCTTTTATAATTATCCTATAAACAGCTGTTCAATTATGTTGTTAATGGTCCCAGAAATAAGGCCAGAGTCTTATCAGTAATATAAGAGTTTGTCCTGTAATAATGAAGAAATACTTGAAATTATCTTTGAATGCATAACTTTCAATATGAGAGATTATAGTTGCCCAGCATTTATCTGGGTATGGGGTTTGAAGACTGTTGCACAAAGACACTTTAAATGTCCTTCAAGAAATACAGTTAAGGGAAACTGTTTCTGAATTTAATGTGACTGACCACAGGTGAAGGTGTAGGGAAAGCTAGGTTTTAGGGAATGCAGGCATTCAAGACCAAGTGTTGAACATTGTGCCTTGTGTCCTAGGAGAAATGTTGACATCTTGACAGAAGAAATACTTAAAGAAATCCATTAGCATGATTAAGTGTTTTCAGTTATAATTGTAATAGTGAACTGCCTAGGACAGAAGAAAATGCAGGTGGATGTGTCAGCTGATACATATAAAAAGAATGGTGGTAGGTAGTCAGTAATTAATAGACATTTCCAGTTTGAGGAACTGAAATGGATAGATTTGCTGAAGTTCACTTGGTCTATATTGAGCTTTGATGTCAATTGA